ATAACACTCACCTGTTATAAGTGTTCTTGAAGAACTGGACATTCTCTTGAAGTTTTTGAACTGCGTACACCAGGGGACATTGGTAGCCTGTTCGGCAGCTTGGGACTCTCTGGGAGAGCACTTGTGCGTTGGTGGAACTCTTTAAAACCATTCACTGCCAGGCAATTTTTTCCACTGCTTTTTTTTCCCTTACAGCTTTCAAAGTTTGTAAAAGACCAACCAAACCATACATTTTCTGAAAGCACATGACCAGTTGAATAAAAAGAAGGTGCTAATGCTTTTTAATGCCCCACAATATTTGTGCAAATGTTTATCAAAACAATATTTTCGCTATAAATACACTAAAATCGTTATTAGCATATACAAAAACAGCAAATTTGACAAAATTCTTACAAAATATAAAAGCTTAACCTGTATTGAGTTAATAAATATTTGTACATTTTAAATTGTGCCTTTTTGCAAAATTGTGAAAATTGAACGTATGCAAAAATGTATCTAAAAATCTGAAGGTTTTCATTTTTCCCTTACAGCTTTCAGAATTTGTAAAGGACTGCTAAACCATAGATTTTCTGAAAGCACATGACCAGTAGAGTAAAATGAAGGTGCTTATGATTTTTTTAGGCCCCACAATAGTTGCACAAATTGATCAAATCGCTATTTTCACTTAAAAAGCAGTACAATCCTTATCTGCACACAAGGACTTATCGACTATTGGCCCAAAGCAAAAAAAAAATACCCTTTCACCTAAAATACAAATACAGACCCCTCACAAAACAATACACAAACACTAATTTACCAACCCTCCCTAAAAAATTGGCAGTTTAATATTTATAAAAATTCAATGCAGCCTTTAACCTCAAACTAAATTACATTTTAAAAATTAACAATGGCTCAACTCCCAAGTAAAGCTGAAGTTGAGTCTGCTTAAAACAGAACTTCATTCTTTCAGTCAACATTGACCATTTTTAATCTTTATGCTGTTAGCCTTAGTAAATATATAGAAAAGCAGATTTTATTTGCTTGTTTTAAACCTTTTTTTCAAATTTGTTCAGTTACTTCCTAGTTTCCATGCCTAGGCAAATTAATACATCCCAGGAGTCTTCAGAAGGGGAGGAGGAGCTTTCTCAGCTAAGCACACCCTCCTGTCTGCATGCCTGAACTAAGGCCAGATGGATTCCAGGAAGTAAATGCTACATGAATCATCTGCCCTTACTCAAGATGGTCATAGCCAGAAATTATACGGGGTTGTTTTCCAAAGTGCAGTTCTTCTTTTTAAATGCTGCCTTCCTAATTAATTTTACCCATCTTCATCAACATAGCTTTTCCTTTGAATTATATGTATTGCTTACCCCCATAGGAGCCGCTGTATAATTTACAGGTCTTCCCTAATTTTGCCCCGCAGCCAGGCACAAGGTAGTTTTACAACCAGGTGCACACACAATTTTTGATCATTGTCTCCAATAATGAGAGAGGTTTTTTTTTCTTGGGAGAGCACATGTAATCAGCACAGGGCCAATCAGCACCGTCCAGACAGAGGTCAATGGTTTTGCATCCTCCTAGAGCAGAAAGTAAACTCCTCCTACAAAGCTTTAAACCAGTGCTCTGCTGAACACTGATAGAAGTCACAAGACTGCTCTAACTGCTGATGAGAAAAAGGTATTTAGCAGTTTATATTTACTAAAATAATTGTATTTCCATGTTCTGTGTACTGTGGGAGACCAGATAAAGTGAATGCAGGGTCCTAGCTTTAGTAAAATTTTAAGTACCAGCCTTGAGCAAAGTTCCAATGTAAGGAAGGGGTTAATTGGACATGCTATTCAGGACACCAACCAGCATCCCCTTGCTCAGAACTACACTGACTATAAAGCACCAAAGGAGTAGCAAAGCACAAAAATTCCCAAAGATCCCTCAGTGTCTGTACTCACAAGACCCAAGGACAGAACAGTAGCCTCCTTTCAATCTCCTAAGCGATGCCCTTCAGTGATACCAGACAGATCTTTGGCAGACAACTCCCCTCAGTCAGCTTACTGAAGAACTAGGGTCACTCTTCTCTTACGTAGGCCCTCAGGTCACCCACCTGAGACCATATGGCAGCAGGTCCCTGGGGAAGCAGTATTCCTTCCACCCAGGCTGGTGTAATCCTCTCCAGGAAAGACCCAGGGCTCAGTATGTCCAAAGAATAAATACTCTCTCAGCATTACTCAGGGCTGCACTCCCTGGGATTGGCTGAAGGGCATTAATATTCATACTGTGTTCTCCATGAGTTCCACCTATACATCCAGAACCTTCCTAGGCTACGAGGAAGCCAGAGGGAGAAGTAGCATCACTTGAACACGCTAAGCAAGCACTACTAACAATTGCAGCTCTCTGTTAAGCAGAAAGCCTAATTCCCTAATTTTCCCTAACAGTTCTACTTATCCTAGCACCTATCTAAAAATGCTTTTATATGTACGTATATAAAAACAGATAAACAGATAAAAAAAGAATCAATTAAGATAAGTTCATTGCTAAGGTTTACTGAAATATATGCTCTCTATAAAGTTAATTGATTGGAAATTTTTGATTGTAGAAAGTTGATCATTTACTTGTTCTTGGAGATTCACCCTCTCTATTTGCCATTTTACCATTATCACGGAGAGTGAAAGGGAAAGAAAACCTCAAATTTTTGGCTCTCACCAGAACAGGAATAGAGGGGAAATCTTCCAAAGGGGACACTAGTTCTGGTTACCTTGGAGACAGCTAGGGATTCCTTCACTTTGGTGTAATATCCTCTCAGATCTTGTTTTTTGCCTATGAGACAGGACATTAAGGAAAATCTCCCTAGTGGAACAGGTGGCAAAAAACCTTTTGTTACTCTATCCAACTTTAAAGGATGAGTTCACCTTTCAACAAAAAAATAATATTTTGCAGGTAAAAAAAAATTAGCATTTTTAATGTTTTTGTTTTGGGAGTCTGTAAAGCATTGCACCTGTGAACAGTAGATCATTGGTACCATGGTCTTCTACAGACCTGTCAGTGTATCTGCTTCCTCGTATCTCATATGCAGAAGCTGATACGGACAGAATGATCCAATGAACTACCACAGTGCTCACAGCGCTGTGGTAGTTCATTCAGAACTACAAGTCAACAGCTGCAAAGGCTGTCAGAACTTGTAGTTTTCTTATTCACAGAACACTGTGAATGAGTGACGTTGCCAGGTGTGCAAAGCCCCGCACGACCGCGTTTTTTAAAAATTGTGACAGCTAGCGAGAGGAGAAGATCCCCAACTAGCTGTTACAACGGGGGATCTGGGGAGGGTTTTGGGGCCATTCATAACATCTAAATATGAGTGTACCATGTAACATGTTACAAAAGATGAACTTATCCTTTAAGCATAGCAATCTATGTGTTTTGATGCTGGTTCTATTTGAATAATTTGTTTTCACTAAATAACTATATCAGCATCTACAGATATTGGAGATAAACATAAATACATATGCTTCACAATAAAAATATCTTTCAAATCCAATCTGATGACATCCTATACATCCAAATAACTTCTTTTGATTTACAAATGAATGTTCGTAATCTGATTTGATAAAACATATTTCTATACCTGGAATTGCACATTTTATACTGGTTGTTCAGTTCAAAGAACTTCACACAGCCTGAAGGGAGAAGTTCATTTGCGTACTCTTTTTGAGACTTGTTTTCAGGTACAGCCACATAAAGCATGAAATAGATTAGAAAGAATTTCCCTGAACCTCTGAAAATACCTATTACAGTGGAGCTATTTTATTACACAATATCCTAAGAGCTTTAAGCAGCCGTAGCTTAAGCAGTCGATTCTGGCAGTCAATCCTGGCATCTTTAACTCAATTCAAGGATTTGGCTTTCAAGGCAAGATCAAAGAAACAGAGCACAGATTTGGATTTCAGTGAAGTCCTGAAATAAGCTTCAGACAAAGATGTGTAGTTTAATCTATTTCTAAACTGATAAGCTTTTTAAACGCATTGTTTTAGGATGATGTGTATGCTTCGCTGCTCACATTGTAGAACACTTTAGACAATGCAGAAATAACATTTAATTGTATAACAGTCTGTATAGCTGATCAATACTCTGAGTAAACCCATTTTAGTTTGTCCTTGCTCTGTTGATCAGGAAACAGAATGAAAATATGCTATTATTGTATTGTGGCCTTTCAAATTATGTCCACATTTTGTATACATACTTTATTAGTTTTACATCAGTATCATATATCTTAGAAACTTAATTTCATTTGCATTTAAAAATGAATCATTTAAACAGAAAAACAAAGATCTGAACTCGGTGCTACACTGGCTTCTGCTTATGGTAGTTTTCTTCCAGCACATGTATCTGTGGGCAGTTTGGCCAACTTATACATGAGCTAAGGACATTTTCTAGTTTTAAATTGTTTCCCTGTGAAAAAGATTTCCCAACACCCCTTGTTCTAATACCCACCACATATATAGAATTAAGAGGAAATCTACCAAATACGAATACAGACAGCATTAAAATCAAAACAGAGGTTCTAAAATGTTCCCACTCTATTTAAAACTAGAAAATGTCCTTAGCTAATTAATTTTCACTAGAAAAATAGTTTATTTGCTGTAAATGTTTCAGTCATTTTCTCTCCTGGCATCTATTAGATAGAGAAGAAGCTTCCCACAGTGGAACACACATCCAGTTGATGGTGTTGATGGTGGCTCTAGCTCCTCTATGTCCTGTCCAAAATAAGGATATGAAAAAGTTTGGGCTACTAGCTGGGCTTTAAAGACAAGTTTGGGCTAGAGCTGGGCTTTAAAGGCAGGCCTTAACATACACTATATGGCCAAAAGTAGTGGGACACCCCCTCCAAATCATTGGATTCAGGCGTTCCAATCACTTTCCTGACCACAGGTATATAAAATCAAATACCTAGGCATGCAGACTGCTTCTACAAACATTTGTGAAAGAATGGGTCACTCTAGGGAGCTCAGTGAATTCAAGCGTGGTAACGTAATAGGTCCATCCGTGAAATTTCCTTGCTACTAAATATTCCAAGGTCAACTGAAAGTAGTATTATAACAAAGTGGAAGCAACTGGGAAGAACAGCAACTCAGCAACAAAGTGGTATGCCACGTAAAATGACAGAACGGGGTCAGCGCATGCTGAAGTGCACATTGCACAGAAGTCACCAACTGTCTGCAGAGTAAATAGCTAAAAACCTCCAAACTTCATGTGGACTTCATATGTACCACAACAACAGTACACAGAGAGCTTCATGGAATGGGTTTCCATGGCCGAGCAGCTGCATCCAAGCTTTACATCCCCACTGCAATGCAAAGAGTTGGATGCAGTAGTGTAAAGCACTCTGCCACTGGACTCTAAAGAGTGTTCTCTGGAGTGATGAATCACACTTCTCTGTCTGGCAATCCAATGGATGTGTCTGGGTTTGGCATTTGCCAGGATAATGGTACTTGCCTGACTGTATTGTGCCAAGTGTAAAGTTTGGTGGAGGCGGGATTATGGTGTGGGGTTGTTTTTCAGGGGTTGGGGTTGGCCCCTTCGTTCCATTGAAAGGGAACTCTTAAGGTGTCTGCATACCAACACATCTTGGACAATTTCATGCTCTCAATGTTGTGGGAACAGATTGGGGATGGCCCCTTTCTGTTCCAACATGACTGTGCACCAGTGCACAAAGCAAGGTCCATAAAGACATTTATGAGCGTGTCTGGGGTGGAGGAACTTGACTGCCCTGAGTCCTGACCTCAAACTGACAGAGCACCTTTGGGATGAATTAGAGCAGAGACTGCGAGCCAGGCCTTCTCATCCGACATCAGTGCCTGACCTCACAAATTTTCTTCTGGAAGAATGGTCCAATATCCCTATAGACACACTCCTAAACTTTGTGGACAGCCTTCCCAGAAGAGTTGAAGCTGTTATAGCTGCAAAGGGTGGGCCAACTCAATATTGAACCCTATGGACTAAGACTGGGATGCCATTAAAGTTCATGTGGATGTAAAGGCATTGCCCAATACTTTTATATAGTGTATATCGAATACAATTTTTGTCACAGGAGAGGAGATCTCACTTCACATCATGTTCTGTACGGATGTCTCTCAAGAAGCAACTTGAGAGACATCCTTTAGACAAGGGTCCTATTAAAAGACTTCCCCTTTTTTTTCTTTTCTGGTGACAATGGAAAAATAGAGAGAGTCTCTCCAGTAGGGACACAGACAGCACAAAACCATGACAGGGGTAAAAACCCCTCCATGCACTATCTATATCTAAACAAAAAAAGGAACCCAAAGGGTCTTGTATGAATTTCCTGAGGGACTTCACACATTTTTTTTTTTTTTTTTTAGTGAGACAAGGTTTTTTTTTTCATGGGGCTCTTAAAATCCATACAAGACTCAAAGGGTTTGGTATGTATTTTAGCGGGACTCTACACAATTTTTTTTCATTCTTGCTGTAGGAGGTACTTCATCAGAAGTGACATTTACAAAGAAATAAATGATACAGTTTGAATTGCTGGCTAATTACATTTATTGCCAACTTTAAAGAAAAAAAAAAAAACACACAAACCCTCCAAACATGACCCATATCAGACCCTTGGAGGGTCCTGTGTGCTGTTTTTTTTTTATTTTTTTTTTTAAAACAAAGAAGCTGTCAATAACAGTCATATGCTGACAATTTTTAAAACTTTTTCCTTTGTAGCACTTTCTGCCCATCACAGAGATACGCCACTTCAAAGGCAGGTTTGGGGCACGGAAAATGAGAATTTTTAATTTGACAGATTCAGCTCTCATTGATTTCAATAGGGTTTGGGGTCGGCATCCAAATGTCTTGAAAGTTTACCAAACCCTTCTTGAACCAAACCCAGGGAGTACACCTCATCACGATTGAAGTCGTTTTGCAGCTTATCTAAGCCTCAGTTCCAATCACCTACATCAAATTGAAACAACCATCCCCAAACAAAAGTGGAGGCCTTTAGCACCATCTGTCATTCAAATGTATGGCTGTTTAAATTTTCTCTAACATAC